CCTTTGAAATAATAACAGGAAGACTCATGCAGAGGTTAGAAGAAGGTGCTTGTGAATCTGCACTTCTCTTTCTTTCTTTCCTTCTTTCTTTATCTTTCTTTCTTTCTTTTTTCTCTCTTTCTTTCTTTTTCTGTCTTGTTTTTACTCCATCTTGCTTCTAAGAATCTGCACTTCTTTTTTTTTTTTTTTTTTTTGAGACGGAGTTTCACTCATGTCACCCAGGCTGGAGTGCAATGGCGCGATCTCGGCTCACCGCAACCTCCGCCTCCTAGGTTCAGGCAATTCTCCTGCCTCAGCCTCCTGAGTAGCTGGGATTACAGGCACGCACCACCATGCCCAGCTGATTTTTTGTATTTTTAGTAGAGACGGGGTTTCACCATGTTGACCAGGATGGTCTCGATCTCTTGACCTCGTGATCCACCCGCCTCGGCCTCCCAAAGTGCTGGGATTACAGGCTTGAGCCACCGCGCCCGGCCGAATCTGCACTTCTTAAAGGTGACATTCTCCATTATTGCTAAGATCTCACAAAACTTCTTACGAAGAACTCCACATTAATAAAGAATTCCTTTCATGATGAACTCTTGGGAGATGAAAATATCAAAAATCATGGCCTGTAACCTGGAGATGTTGTTGACTGGAAACAACAACAAATAAAATCTTCCCTCCAAGCCTGTTGGAAGGGACCACATCACGTATTATTATTATTTTATTTATTGATTATTATTTTGAGATGGAATCTCACTGTTTTCCCCAACCCATAATGCAGTGATACAATCATGATTCACTGTAGCCTCAAACTCCTGGGCTCAAGCCATCCTTCTGCCTCATCCTTCCAAGTAGCTGGGACCACAGGTACATACACTGCACCTGGCTTCATCAGGTTGTATTGACCAATCTCTGTGCCAGGAAACCTAAGGGCATTGACACATGGATTCATGTTGCTCTTATAAAAGGCAACCCTACCAGAGCGGACATCTGTCAATGGAGATTTTCACTTAAAGGTGACTCGCAGTCTTCTTGACCGAGGTGGCAAATAGCTGACATTTATTGCAGTCCCGTTTCGCCCAAGATACTGGCCTGTGTAACCAGTTACAATTCCAGCACTTACTGCACCTGAAAGAGTTGATCTCTTTTTCTGTTGACTGGGACGCATGCATCGTTAGGGCTCCTTTAAGTTGTAGGAGTCCTCTCATGGTGGTTTTGGTAAAATCACCCTATATGCATATTCTCTTAACATCTGACACACTAGTCCTGTTGTGTATGTGTGTATACATATACATACATACGCAGCAAAATGTGTCAGATCAGGTTTCTGTTTCACTGTCCTAATTAATGTGATTACAGCATGGAGGGATAATTCTCTAATCAGAATCTCACAAACTATTGCCACTGTGGGAAATTTGATAAGGTGCCAGGTTTGCCATTCAAAACCACAAACTGCATTTTTTTTTTTAAAGACGGTGTTTCACCATGTTGGTCAGGCAGGTCTTGAACTCCCAACCTCAGGTGTTCCGCCCGCCTTGGCCTCCAAAGTGCTTGGATTATAGGTGTGAACTACCGTGCCCAGCCACACAAACTGCTCTTGAACATAATGACCTTTTGGTTTGTCCTGTGCTAAATTTCACTGGCATTCCACCTCATCGCAGTCACAATGCAATTCAGGGTCATATCAAGTAAAACCTGTTTATCACATCTGTCTGAGTCACCCTAACCTCAGTTTAACCCATATAATCGTACTGTCAAAATAACTGCCTGTGATCCCAGCACTTTGGGAGGCTGAGGCAGGAGGATCACTCGAGCTGAGGAGTTTGAGATGAACCTGGGCAAAATGGTGAAACTCCATCTCCACAAACTATATACAAATTAGCTGGGTGTGGTGGTGCTCACCTGTAGTCTCAGCTACTCAGGAGAATGAGCTGAGAGGATCACTTGAGCTCAGGAGTTCAAGCTTGCAGTAACCCTGATGATGCCACTGCACTCCAGCCTGGGCAAAAGAGTGTGACCCTGTCGCAAAAAAATAAATAAGTAAGCTGGGTCTGGTGGTGTGTGCTTGTAGTCCCAGCTGCCTGGTAGGCTGAGCCACTGAGCCCTGGAGGACAAGGGGTCAAGGCTGTACTGAGCTGTGATCTTGCCACTACACTCCAGCCTCAGCAACAGAATGAGACCCTGTCTTAAAAAGTAACAATAATAAAAATAAAAAATAAAAAACCAACCAAGCAAAAAATTGTCGCTTCACTCCTAAATAACGGTGGTAAACACCGTGATGCTGTTGGAAAGCTAAAAAGAAAACACTCCCTCCTGCTATCAGGATCCAACCTGCCCTCTTGCTCTAAATTCCTGACCCATGATTTAAATGCCCAAAAGCTGATGTACACAAATTACAGTGCACTTACCTGTTCTGCACCAGAGTTTATTTTTGTCTCTTGAACAGATCACCATCCATGGCCCTATAAATGTCTAAGGGCATGGAATGACGAAGTGCAATGTCATTATTGTTACGTGTTTCTCATCACTTTACTTCTGAGAAAATTAATTTCATGGTATTCCGAGAACTAGAGATGATTCAACAAGTGATAACAGCTGGAGACTTAACTGAGGCCTCTCTCTCTCTCTGGCCACTCTGTGATGCCCTTTTTTCTTTCTTTTTTTCTTTTTTTTGAGGCAGAGTCTCGCTTTGTCACCCAGGCTGGAGTGCAGTGGCGCAATCTTAGCTCACTGCAACCTCCGCCTCCCAGGTTTAAATGATTCTCATGCCTCAGCCTCCTGAGTAGCTGGAATTACAGACATATACGACCACACCTGGTTAATTTTTGTATTTTCAGTAGAGGTGGGTTTTGCTGTGGTGCCCAGGCTGGTCTGGACTCAGGCGAGCCACCCACCTCGGCCTCGTGAGGTGCTGGGATTACAGTGTGGGCCACTGCACCTGGTTGTAATGCCCCTTCCACTGGACTTTTGGGTACCCTTAAAAATTCCTCAGAGAGGCGGCTCCTTTACTCCCCTGTCCCCAGCTTGGTACAGGACAATCCAGGAATGAGTCTTTCCGGCAAAGAGGGACACGCTGACTAAGCTTTTGATCATCAATGCTTTTAAGAAGAAAAATTGAAAAAAAATTTTATCTGTGGAATCTGAGACATCCCAAAGGCAGACAGAAGCGCACGTCTTTGTCAGAACCTCGGTATGATTTGATGGGCCTGGAAACCAATATCCAAGCAGTTCTTAGCCACTGGATTGGTGGACTGCTTTTGTTCAGAAACTTCTCCATTAGGAATTAGAAGCATACATTAGTGATGACGGTCCCGGATCAAGGGACATTTCTTAAGCATTCTAAAAACCTGGCTGGGAGTGGTGGCTCACGTCTGTAGTCTCAGCACTTTGGAAGGCCAAGGTGGGCGGATCACCTGAGGTCAGGAGTTCAAGACCAGCCTGGCCAACGTGGTGAAACCCTGTCTTTTTATTAAAAAAAAAAAAAAATTCTAAAAACCTGTTTGCTCATCAGTAAAGCACTGAAAGTTGCTTTCGGTTTTGGTTCACATATTTTATATTTGAGCAAGGCAACGTCTGCTGCTGGGGTTAGAAGTAAATGGCTCATCTTCATCCAACTACATCAGTCCATAGGACATAGGGCTTCCACTCGCAGTGTCCTGAACACTCACTGGGCATCCTGCGCGTTCTAGCCGGTTTTGTTTGGAGCCGCGGGTTTCTGCAGGCACCCTGGTTGGAATGGCAGAGGCTTCTCCGGACGTGCGTATCTATAAGTGCTATTCCCGGGGTAGCCACCAGGGGATGCCACAGGCCACCCCCCCCAACCCCGCAACACGCACACACCACACCTCACCCGACAGCCACCCCGACCCCGTTCTCCCCATGTTTTCAGGTTGGGCCCGGTAGTTTCTATTCACCAGGACACTACAAATCAGAAGTGTGTGGGGTCAGAAAACACCCTGGGAGAGGCTGGCAAAATGCCCAGAACGGCCATCACTAGGCCTGGGGCTTTCTTGTGTTGTGAAATTTTCGTGTTCACGTAGTGCAGGGACAAGACCAGTGAGATACTTGTGGGAGTTAAAAATTCACAATGCCATTTGAGAGGGGTACTAAGGAATATGCCAGGTGCTACGTGTTGGGAGACAGCTAAGTATTTTCTGTCCATGAAGGTGATAAGCGAGGGCCTGAGAAAGAGGGACGGGGAGGACGCAGGCGGCAGAAATAGGAAGAGGCGGCTGGAGGGCGGGAGGGATGGGCCGGGGGGCTAACTAGAACGCTGCCGGGCAATGGATGTAGGATGTGGAAGCGAAACATCAAACAAGGAAACTGCCACTTAAGTGAAGTCTGAAGAAAGAGGAGCTGTGTAAGCGACAGGAGATAGCAGGGAAACTAGACCGGCTCCTCATCAAACGTCCCGCCTTCTACTTCAGGGAGGATGGCAGCGCATTTCCGCTGAGACAAGGTGAGGCTGTGGTTCTGACCTATGGGCCTCAATGAATCTGCACAAGGGCACCTGGGCGCTGGCAGAGCCGTTCCCCTGCACGAAGTAAGCGTGTTATGTCCCCGGAAGGGGACACTAAGAGACAAAGGCCCTGCTTTGATCCCAAAGATGAGCGCCCCTCTGCGTAGTTCCTACCTGGCCCTACGAGGTGAGAACCCACTCCTCAGTAGCACAGAAATTCCGGGACCTCTAAAGGTGACTGACTTGAGGGGTAGGGAAAAACGCGAAGGTTCTCAGAGAGCGTGTGAAAAACCAAGAGACTGGAGGCTACAGAGCAACCTCTGCAAAAAAAACAAGCCCCTATGCAGGAAAGCCTGTGCAGCCAGCTCCATAATAAGGTTGTGTTAAATTATCTCCACGGGCGACACTCCTTAATTCTACAACAGAAAAGACAGCGACACTTTTCTCACCCCTTTCCAGCCTTACCGAGTGGAATAGCACGACGCCTCCCAGAACGTAAAACTAACCAAATGAGAAACAGCCCTTCGCGCAGTCTACCTTTGGTACCACAAAAAGCCAGGGGAGAGCGCGAACGCAGTCCCCCACTAGCACAAATTATGCAATCGAGTTTCCTACATTTGGGGAAATCGCAGGGGTCAGCACATCCGGAGTGCAATGGATAAGCCTTCCCCTGGGAAAACCACCTTCGTAATCATGGTGTCTCCCCTGCCAGGTAAGTATGAGGCCGCACGCCTCCGCCCCGCCGGAGCCGCACACGCCTCACCCTTTACACGCACGGTCACTTGCCCGGGGCATCCTCTCCGCACCCCGGCCACCCCGAGCCCTCCCAGCCCGGACACACAGCTGGGACTCTCAAATCCAACGCCGGTCCTGGATTGCTCCCACAGCACCAGAAATCCCTCGTGGCCAAGCAGCAGCCCCCGCGCTGCCTCATCTACATAGAAGCCACCCTGTCCGTGACGTCACCGGCCCCGCCTCTCCCAGTTCCGGTCTGTTCCACCGCCGCTCAACCACCAACCCGCTGTCGGAGCTGGAGGGGAAGTGACGTCGGCCTCTCCCTCCCCTTCCGCCGCATCTGTTCGCTCCAGTGGAAGCGCGTCCTTGTCCTGCTGCCCAGGACACTTTAGGCCGCCAACTGGAACCTGTGCACCCTTCTTCAAATAATGGCTTTTAATTCGCAGACGAGAATGTTTAGGATTACAAAGAAAACTGGTTCTTTTCACATATGGTTACCTGGTGATGTAGCATTCCGCTTGAAATTGAAAGTCCTTCAATATCAGAGAGAGACCATATTGTTTCAAAAAAAAACCAACCAACAGCAGCAACAAAAGAAAACCACTGCAAATCCTAATGCCTTCGCCTTAATGTAATGTATTACACATTATTAATTAACGTATTAAACATTAATCCTTTAGAGGATTCCTTTAGAAAAGTGTCTCTAACTGTGATCGGGAGTTCAGGAATTCCTCCGTGTTTGTTTCTGTCTTACCGTCTTCAGCTAAGTTCATGCACTATTAGATGAAATAATAGTAAACTAAAAATAGAGTCTAAGCTCAATTTAACAAAAACATATATTTATATATGGCCTCCTTTATTGATTTTTCTTCTGTGGGGCGGGCAGGGGACAGTCTAGCTAAAATACACATTCTCTCTGTAGATACACCAGAAGAACACGACTCCATCAGCGTTGCCCTCATGTTAACAAAAGTGATTTTAACTTAAGGTGATCAGAAATCTTACATATCTGTACTTTTTCTGTACTGGTGGTATGGTGCATGTATGATTAAAAAAAAAAGGAGAGGGCCGGGCGCGGTGGCTCAAGCCTGTAATCCCAGCACTTTGGGAGGCCAAGGCGGGTGGATCACGAGGTCAAGAGATCGAGACCATCCTGGTCAACATGGTGAAACCCCATCTCTACTAAAAATACAAAAAATTAGCTGGGCATGGTGGTGTGTGCCTGTAATCTCAGCTACTCAGGAGGCTGAGGCAGGAGAATTGCCTGAACCCAGGAGGCGGAGGTTGCGGTGAGCCGAGAT